GCGCAAACTTCAGCCGGGAAGTTGGGCGGCTGCGGTGGGGGCGCGCAGCGAGGTGAGAGGGGGGCCACCCTGCGCCTGGGCACGAAGTTGTCCGGGGCAGCCGGGCAGCCGTCCCTCCCCAAGGCTGCGCCCAGGGTGTTTCTAGGAAGGGGCTTGGAAGGTGCCTTCCTTGTCTCGGCGCGACTCCCTCCTGGTGCCCCTGGAGAAGCCAAGAGGACGTTGTTCCTGGGGGTCAACACCGGGAGCTTGGTGCTCTCCTGCCTTCAGGGAGGAAGCAGGTCGGGGATCTGGCACGGTGGAGAAGGCAAGGGTAGCCAAAGGCGCCTGAGGTGGGTCTGGAGAGGGAGAGGCAGGTGCATCCCTCCGTCTCCCCCAGGGAGATGCCTGCGTCTGCTTCCCACTGGCCCCGAGATGGGGCCGGAATCCAGGCTGGCACCTGGAGACCTTGGCATACTGCCCTCCCCAGCAGGGTACTCAGTGCACAGCAGGGCAGCATGCCGCCTGTCTGCCTGTCCAGAAGGGCCCGCCCAGCTGGGCCAGAGGGTGGCCGGGAAGCAGTGGTTGCAGGGAGCTGCCCAACCCTGCCCCAGGGCCTGGGAAGCTGGAAAGGATACTGGGAGGAGCCCTGGGCCCCCAGCCATCACAGCCCAGGATCTTGGCTTTGGAGGGAATGCTTGACATCAAGGGGACAGCCAGGCTGGCTGGGGACCTGGCCAAGGCCTGGCGTCCTGCGGGTCTTGGTCTGGGCAGAGCCCGATCTGTGGTCCTCAGAGTCTGGCACCCTGAGTTGTCTGTCAGCAGCCATCCTGCTGTTCTGGCATTCTGGAGGGAAGATACGGCAGGCAGCCCAGAGACCTTGTGCTCTAGAGGGCTTCCCAAAGCACCCAGGCTTGAGGAATTAGAAAGTGGCCCCTTCAGTCTGCTCACTCATCCACCCCTTCCCAGGCCCCACTGCGGTGCCACAGTACCACAGCTGTCCCAGCCCAGCCCACACATCCCACCCGGGTGACCTCGAAACCCTCCCTCTCTGCTCCTTTTCCCCTCTGGGACCGGGCTGGGCCTCCCAGCTGGCCCTAACCCACTCTGGAGGAGGGGCTGCACCTGGGAGCCCCATTTCTCAACCCATTTCTAGCTCTACTTGACCCTCCTTGAAGCCAGCCAAGCAGGAGACAGTGTCAGGGGGTTGGGCTGTTGGTTTTTTTGGGATGGAGACCCCAAGCAGCCTTGTTTTCCTTGGCTTTTCCCCTCCCCCTCCTTTCCGGAGGAGCTGCCGTTAGCGCTGACCCCTTATGCTTGCCTGCCCTTCCCTGTCTGTGACCTTTAACCTTTGGTGTTAAATCCCTCCAGCTGGGGCTCTTTGGCCCCTGAGTGACCCTGGTCCAGGTTCCCTGGGGGACCTGCCTGTCCCTGGCTCTCTTTTCGGGACACCTGCCAGCCCCTCCCTCACTGATAGGGAGGGGGTATCCTGGGAAGCCAGACAGTGAGTCACCTCCATTCCAGGCATCACTTCTTTTGGGGTCAGTGGCTTTAGGGATTTGCTGGAGCCAGGCCACAGCCTGTAGGGTGAATAGGAAAAGCCTCTGGCTTGGGAGGCTGATGTCCTGGGTTCGAATCTTGGTGCCAGTTCCAATGGCCAGCCTCCTCTCTCGTGGTCTCAGTGTCCATCTATAAAACCAAGGGGTCAGACAAGGTGAGCTTCCTGAGCTCCAGAATCCAGGAGACTATTGGGCAGCGGGTGGGAGAAGACGAGAGGGTAAATCTAACAACAGCCAACTTTCAATTATCTGTGGGTGGAGCTAGTATGAATAACTGGATGCCATAGACATCTCAAAACCTCATTTTAAACAATCATGTGAACTGAGTCCCCCCAAGCTTTTGTTTCTAAAAAGCCCAGCTGTGAACTGGTAGCCACAGCCATTTTTTCTGCCCAGGCTCCCTTTGCAGGAAGCAGGAGTGGGGGGCTGGAGGGTAAACTGGTCTCCTTGAAGAGGAAGGTCGGCTAAGCCTCCTCTTCGGGCCAGGAGGGAGGCTAGACCCCATTTCAGAGGCCCCAGGATTCCTTCCACCATCTGCTGGCTTGGCCATGGCCCCAGGCAGTGGGAGGGTCTTTTGGCTACCTGATCCTCAGAGGGTCTGAGCTGTGGTGTGGAGACAGGAATGTGTTTTCCCCAAATTTTCCCTTGTGCATTTCCACATACCCACTGGACTTGCCTGGAATCTGAATTTTCTACTTGGGTGAGGGAGTACAACCAGTGCTAAACAGTTTGGGGCAATCCCGGGGTGAGGGAGGTGGGCAGCAGCTGACTGGGGGACCAGATGTTGAGGCTGGGGCAGGCCTGCTCTTTGGGAGGCCTGCTGGGGTTGTGGGGGCTGCTGTTCCTGACCTGCCCCTCCAGCTCCACATGCCTCTGCAGCTTCCTGTATCCAGGGAAGGCTAAGGAGGCCCCTTGTCCAAGTGGGAAATTCGGATTCCAGAGAAGCCCTGAGTTGGGTGGAAACAGGTGGCACTGGGCACCAACTTTTCCAAGGCTGCAGGAAGCTCTCTTGAATCCCTTCTTAGGGTATGGTTTTGTATTTCACAGCAGATGACTGAAGTCAGAGGTACCTCAAAGGTACTGGGGGTTCCTCCCTTTGTCCACCTAAGCACCTCAGGAGTGGGGGTGTCTCTGGGACCAGCTAGAGAAAAAGAGCTTCCCATATCTGTCTAGTTATCTCCTCTCGCGGGGCTGTGAAAGGTCCCCAGAGAGGAGCTGAGGCTCTGTGCCTGGGGGTTTACCTACTGGAGGACACCAGGGCCAGTTGGCGGGGTGGCATACCTGTCGCTGCGCTAGCCTGCTGCCAGCCATGGGTGTGGATACTACAACCCGAGCAAAGCTCCTGGGACACAGCTGCTAATCCAGTGCTGCTGCCTGTGTGGCCCTATCCTGGGGTGGGGACTGGGCATTTTCATCAAGCACCTGAACAAACTGATGGGCTAGAGATCGGCCACTGCTTTGACCCCAGGAACAGGAAAGGCCCTGGTGGTGCTGGCAGTGTGGGCATCTTCTGTAGGGGCAGTCTGGGCTGATCCTGGTTTTTCTCCTGACTCCAACTTAGCCACACAAGTCCTTGCTGTCTCTAGCAAACAAAAATCCAGCCTTTGGTCTGCAGAGAGGCGAGGGCAGTGAAATAGGTTTGGGGGTAGTGCTGGGTGACTCCTTTTAAGGACCCTTGAAAAAAGCCCAACCAGCACAAATGCCTTCCGCTGGCCTGGTGAACTTTGTAGGAACCTGCATCCCTCATCTGAAACTGTTGGGTTAATCTTCTGTGAGAGACAACATTTATCCTTACTTGACAGATGTGGAAACTGAGGCTCAGGGTGGAGAAGGGCACATGGACAAATGGGTAACGGTCCTTTATGGCTGGGGGGCCGGGCACTTAAGTTTCCCAGCCTGGGAGTCGTGGGGTATGCTTTGACTGGTAGCTAGATCTGGCCAAGAAGCAGCTGTGTGTCCTAGGGCCCCAAGCCCATCCTTTCCCTGGAGCTCTCCCCGCACCCCGCCCCAGTTCCAGTCCTCCCTGGAGGATGTGAGGTAGAAGTTGAAGCCTGGACTTCCTCTCCAGGCCTGCTCTGGGTCTCAGGGATCTTCACAAGATAAGGGTTTCCAGGAGCCTCCTTCACAGCGGTCCTGAGGGAATTCAGAGGTCCATCCTGGAGGACCTTTCTTTTGCTGTCCCAGCTGAGACACCTCCTTTTAAGCTCCCCAGGCTGGGCAGGTGCAGAGGCCTTGGCTCTGGCCTTCTACTCCTGGTCCTTCAGAAAGGGTGGAGGCTTTAACTGGTGGCCAGGATGGGAGGAGCCTGTGAGGCACAGATAGGGGAAGTGATTCTGGGTGAGGAATGGGGCTTCCCATCTGCTCCAGATGCTCTTGTGGTGGGTGGGCAGAAGGGGCTGAGGATCTTCCAGGACTGGGGGCATGTAGCATGGGCTTCCTTCTCTTCTTTGTCTTT